CCGCCCCGCCCGACGCCGCGCCGACGCAATAACAAGCGGATTTGCGGCCGTAAAGAGCCGCTGTATTTTCTCCGGAAAGCCCCGAGGTAAATAGAGATTTTTTACGATATTAATAAGAGGCTTGTCGGATGCCGAATGGCGGCTCGGGAGGAGGAACAGTCGGGGAAATATTAAAAAGAGGAAGACGAGGCAATGACTTTATGGAAGCGGATTCTTGGCGGAGCGGCGTTCGGAATTACCCTCTAACTGGCGGCGGGGAGGGTGAAATCCGGCAGAGACACAGCGCCGCGCCGCGGTGAATGGTTGCCAACGGCCGGTCGAGCCCAACAGAGGGAAGGCGGCCCTTTTGGGCTGCTGCTGGCGCCCTAATCAATTTGCGTATGTGTGTGTGTGGAGGGGGGGGCAGCGCGACTGTTCTTTGCTCCTTCTGTCTGCACTCCGACGTTATACTCTTCATCGCAATAATTAGTTCGTGTGTGTATTGCCCTGAGTGTTCTGCAGAAGACAACCTTCATCTTGTTCAAAGTATTGATACGTGACAATTTCATTCTTTTTGGAGTAAAAGAAGCATTGTGATGGTCTGAAATGAATCCCACGTAGAAAATTGACATATTTAATGTGTATTCGGTTGAAATATGAGAAAATCACAATGTCTTCACTTTAAAAATATGGATATTCCGGCCGGGTGTTCACCTACAATTTTCTGGTGTGCTTCAAATACAGATGTTATTTGTCCTCTTCTTCCCATGGAAATCTCTGTATCGAATACGCTACTCAACCTACACGTAACCAGCCTGGAAAGAGGAACGGACTTTCTATTTTTTTATTTACCGCTCATAGTTACTTTGTATTGCAAGAAATGCGGCGTTGGAGTGTGGTTGCCGTGCCGTGTCTCGCGCGGTGCGCGTTGGGCTCGCTGGCGCCCAGCGTGCACGGGGCGCGCTGCATTCCCTGCCGGCGTGACGCGACGCGATGCGGCGCAGCGCTCCATATCGCCCGCCACTCAGCGGCGCCGAGTGTGTTCGGAATTCGGGCCGTGTTAGGTATTTTATTACATTCCCTACGTGCTGCCGTTGCTGGAATTTTTAACGAGAGCGCGCGCAAGAAAAATTAACTTGGCGGCGGAGGCTAATGTCGGTGTTCATTAAGAGGATGTTGGAAAGGCTTGTCATCCTTTCGGATGGCAGATGTAATGGGGTTTCCGAAATTTCTGTGGCCGGTGGATCTCTTTTGGAATGGCGCGCACAAGTGAAGTTTTGTGTCATCGCTTTCGAGGTTGTAATTGATGTAGATCAAGGGTGCGGATTTGTGGGAGGATGAACCGAAAAGGAACTTTCTTTCGTCAAAAGGCTCACTGTCATTAAAAAGACTGAAAACCATCGGTATGGGATTAGGTAATTTTGATCCATTTTATCAGAAGATTAAGAATGAAAGTTAAGCACTGGGAAAGGTAAATGAATATTTGTATTTCCTTAAAAGATATGTTCAAAAATTACATTCTACAAGTTACCCTCCAAGAATTAAAGAAGTAGATGATAATATATTAGGTTGGCTTCGTATGTGGGCAATTGCAATATTTGTTTAGTGTGTCTGGAAGTATTTCGTCCGGGTCCTAAATTAGATTCGTGGCGCAGACACGCTATTTCAATGTAACAAGAGAGCGCGAGACCTGTCGCTGATAGGCCATTCGGACATCGCAGGGAGGCGGCGCCGAGCCAAGAGAAGGCGCCAGGGGGGCGGGCTTGGAATGTTGTGAAAGGTCCCGCATGTACACAATCCCGCATTAGCGAATTCCGGTCGCCGATTATCATATAGATGGACGCGCGGCGGGGCGAGGCGGGGAGGGGC